TATGGGATGATGCTCGAGATCTGTTTGCTCTTTGTGTCCTCCCAGCATGCAAAGGGAAAACATTATCATTTTCAAACAGCAACATAGAGCCTGAAGAAATCCAAATGTGTTCCTCCTGAATCCTCACCCTTTCTCTCTCTCTCTCTCTCTCTCTCTCTCTCTCTCTCTCTCTCTCTCTCTCTCTCTCTCTCTCTCTCTCTCTCCCCCTGAGGTAGCTGAGGTTACAGCAGGTCCTGATGCGGCTCTTGGCTCTATTGTTCCACAGATGGCCCTTTCCTCCCCTGCTCTCTCCTCTGATCTACTTCTGCTGAGTCTCTGTCATATGCAGCTGCATGCCAGCCCTGTTGGCACTAGTCATGCTAATATAAACAGTTGATAAATACATCCACATGTGCTTTGTCCATATGGGCCTTTGCTTTCATTTGCAACTAACCAGTTTGTGGCTTTTCTTTCGGCTGATGTACATGTTTAGCATTGTGTTTGATTTTATTTTGACAGTTTTCAGTGCAACACAAACTTAGACTTGTTGCATCTGTAGTTTGCAAATAACTGCCCAATAAAAAAGCACATGCAAAAACATGCACACAACTTATATTATTTACTGCTTGATTTACTGTTCTTTTAAAAAATGCATTTTGGTCTTTTGGATCCTGCAAGTCATTAATCTTCTGAAAAATGTTTTTCTATAAAGGTCTCCCAGTGCTCCCTGAAGACCCTCATGGGAACTATACCCCCCTTCACAGTTCAGGAAAGATGCTCTCAAGCAACAAATCTAAAGGGATGTTTTCATAATGTTCCATCACAGCCTCCACTTTTTCATATAATACTAGAAAACCTTACAGTTACCGGTTAGATTGTCATGTTAAATTATCTGCGTCACTAAAAGAAGATCCAAACCAGACCAATTTCCTAAGAGTAGATGTCCACAGCTTGCACAAGAAGAGCCATTTTCCCTTCATAAGATCCTTACCTCTGTCTCCATGTTTTTTGCTTTGAAACATTCAAGTGCAACATGCAAGGTAGCCTAATTTCATAGGTTAATAAGAGAGTGGAGCTATATTTAACACGGAGAGTGGAAACCGCATAAGGAGGCCCTTGGCTGTCCCTAAGCTCCTTCCCTGTGGACTGACTGACCCTTTTAATACAAGACCGCTTCAATGTGGCCTCAATAAGGAAACAGGGTCTGCATTAAATGTGTCACAGCCACAGTACACTTGATAAAATCTCATTCATGAGCACGAACAACTCACAGTTAAAAACCTATTACTGTAAAATGATGGTTATATTTAAACGTACCTCTAGAAGGTACAACATAACATACAATTGCACTTAATATCTTATAGAGAACCAATTTTTAATCAAACAGCAGGAGCTTTCAGGTCCCTCAGATAACCTTTATTAAAGTTGCGAGCCTTAATTAGGTTTAAAGTGTTCATTCATTGCAAGGAAAGCTCAGGTGGTTCAGATGAGAACTTTAAAAAGCTTAATTCCACAAAGCTTGACTGAGAAAAGTGTTGGTGCACACTGAATACGGGTCATTTACAAAGGTAAAAGCTAACATGATGAAAAACTATGTCATAATGACCTTAAACAACCTTAGAGGGAGATTCCTTTTAATATTTTAGATGTAAACACTTGTTTTGTTGTCTCTAATATTGTTGCTGAGTTGCAAAATGTTTGTAAATTGGCCTGCTGGTGTCGTATTGACTGGAAAATACTAAGAATGTGTAGACATGACTCTCCACAGCTGGATATGTCATGTAGCATGGGAATGTGTTTTTATAGCGATAACTAAAGGTCGTGACACACATTTAAAGTAAACCTGACTATAAAAGGCAAAAGTTAAAATAGCCAACATGTTTTTAAGTACTTACCATCCTGCCTTCTAAACTTTTGCAAAGCTAGTTTACATACTTACAGAAAAAAAAGTCAAACAATGATGCTAAAATCCAAAAAAGAGAAGCTTATTCTTACTTTTTTTTTATCAGTTCATCTGTGCCTTTTTAGGCCAAACAACCACTCTGAGTGAAAATACTCAGTGGTGTAATTATTTTAAGTACGGCTGAATGTGGAGTTGGAGCCTGGGTGTTGCCATAGATCGCTCATGGTGATGGGAGACTTCTCAAATCAGTCTGGTCATACTGCGCTCATTAAATTTAATCTGCAGGAAGCAGATGTTTGTGCTCGGCGAGCACGGCCATCTTTCACAATTAGTTCTCTTACCTCCTTTCCTACCCTTTGTCTTTTATTCCTTCCACTTGTTGATGGAGTATATAAGGCATTAGCTGTAGATGTGTGATGTTTTTTTTCTCATGTGTACAAATCTCACGAGGATCTCTTCTCATCCCTGAGGTATTTTTTCTACAGGCAATATTTAACAACATAAACAAACAAACTGCATTTATTTTGAAAGTCTTGTGTGAATGATAAAAGCATTTGCAGCTGAAGGGTTTATTTGTTTTAAACATGTAGGGTTTGGTGAATTGAGTGTTTTAAGAGCTCAATATATATTACCTCTACTTATGAACAATAAGCTGTGATACTCTATCTAAATATAGAATATCAACCCTGCTTGGTCTTTACGGTGTTAATCAGAAGATTCTAGGATTCTTTGTTTATTCAGGGATTGTACACACATCGTTTTGATTCAGAAAAGAGTCAGGTTTATAAAAGTAAGAATTTATTTTACCAACAATTAAAACATGACAAGTTAACTAACATTTACTGTGATGGATGGAATTAGATGTGATGTATGAAACCTATGTGTGAACGTGATGTTATCAGAACTTCTGTATCCAGGAGAGCTGAGTTCTGGATGTAAAAGAATTTGGGTTGCGTTAAGCTATGAAGTTGATTATTATCAAAAGCACATCAGACGCTATATATGTGTCTACTTCACCCGTTCTTGGAGACCCTCTTGGCGGATCCGAAGGTCAGAGAGGTCGGATGACCTCTGGCACCGAAGTGCTGTAGAATACCGTGGCACCAACTCTTCAGTCCAGAGATGTCTCAGATCATGACAGATGAATGGAACCGCACGTCTGGGACTCTTAAGAAGTCTAAACAATATCAGCTTGTTCTACAGGAACTGTTTGCTGTATCAGCTTCGCAGGTGCAAAAAGATTTTGACGACGTGTCAAAAGCTTTGATGGGTTAAAGAGGTTTTGCTTCAGTTAGCAGGTCTGAAACTTCCTCTACAACTGATGAATCACCAGAGTGATCCAGTTTTAATGTTCTCATGTTATGATTTGTGTAGCCAACCAGAGGTTGACAAGTTTGAGGAATATTACCAAGAAAACCTCAGAAACATGCCTTCCTTGATACCGGATGCTCTGATCTGGGGTAAAGGACTATCTATGTGTCACGTGTTTGACTTAACTTAACTTTGTCCTTGTGTGAGTGCAAATGGTGATGACCTTGTCATGTAAACATACTGAAACATATATCAATGTAATCATAACATAACATTCATTTCAAATTTCAATCATTGAGCACAGATTAATGAAATATTCCGTTATACTATAATTATTATAAGTAGCAATAAACAAAAATTTATTTACTGATTATCTAGCTTATCAGTTTTAGAAGTTCATATTTAATTTAGGAAATCATTCTTTGATTCAGCAACTAATCCGGGCTGCGAGTGTTCACTTATTTGGAGGCATGAAGAATCCTGAAGGACGATAAGGGAAGCTTGGACCTTGAGGAGAGAACATTATTGTTGACACTTCCTTATCTGTTTTCAGAACTGCAGCAAGGCTCTGAGCTCCAGCTGATGGGATGAAGGCAGGCTGATTTAAAGGGAACACATGCAGCCTCGTGTGTCCATTTTGATAACCAGATGTTGAATGGTCAAACTGTACCTAAGAACTGACCATTGCTGGACGTTACAAACATATTTTCTTAAACAAACATTTAATGTTGACAGAATAATCCAAACTGATCCCAACATGTGTTTAACTGAGATAAGCTTCCACAGTTTTAGATGTATAATAATCGACAAATAAAAAACTGAGCAGAATACGTTTTGAAAAATACTAATAATAAATGCTGGCAGACCTCAAATGCCATATATTCTGGAGGTTAAAAATAACGGGTATATATCATTATTTTTTCCTTTAAATTAGAATAAAAACTCCAGAAGTGAAAAATAATAAAAGAGGTACTGGAGGGGATAAAACACTATTGATCTTTTTAGTAACACCTTGCAGCCCTTTCAGCACCTTGGACAGCGGTCTTCTTAAGCTAAACCTCTCCACCTGTCACCAGTGGGTGTTTAAATAAACCAATCAACCCCAAGAAATACTCACTTGTGAATTAAAATCTCCACCTACCTGTCATACCAGGAAATATTCTGGAGGTTAAAAATAACTGGGGTACACACTGAAACTAATCCGCGAGAATGGAATCTGGCCACGTTTTAGATGAGGGGGAAAAAGGATTACTGTTTGTAATCTAATCTGTGCAAACCAGGATGGTGCGTAATTTAAATGTCCGCACAACTTTTACCATGGCAGTCATCTAAAGGTTACAGCTATACGTAATATTGCATAAACTGTGTCTCCCTCTATACTTTGTGTTTGAGTGGTTTAACATATTCGATCGCCTGTTTCAGAGTTATTAATCAGTTTACTATTAGATGTGCTGGGATCAGTTAGAATTTTTGGAAGTGATGATAAAGAACACCAATCAGACACAGCGGTATTAGTAGATTCCTTTAATCTAATGGCACATCCGGTCTTTTCTTGGAAATAAAAAAATGATGTAACCACAGGGAGGGAGAGATGGGCTCTGATATATTTATGAGCCTAATTGAAAACGTCCTGTCTGAGAAGAATGACCTTGGAGATTCACACAAGTGTGTGTGTGTGTGTGTGTGTGTGTGTGTGTGTGTGTGTGTGTGTGTGTGTGTGTGTGTGTGTGTGTGTGTGTGTGTGTGTGTGTGTGTGTGTGTGTGTGTGTGTGTGCAAAACGGGGCTGGGGGCAAACGGGAAACTGGCACGCCCAAACCCCGCTGCTGAATGACGCCCGTCTGTTGCTTCTCCTGTGTGTCGTGCATCCTGCGATTGGCGGACGGCAGAAAAAGGTAGCCAGCTCCGATGCGCCGTGGGCGGGTGGAACGCCTGTTTATAAACCCAACTCTTTCTCCGTGGGCGGGAACATCAACTGTAGGCTGCCAACGCGAGGCGCTTGTGAGACCGAGAGAGACGTGGAAGAGACGAGGCTGTGGCGGCGGCTGTGGTTGATCGGGGTTCGCGGAGGGGGCGAGGCGGCCGCCCCTGTATGCGTCTTCAACCGCGCATGGACGACCACCTCAGCCTCCTGCAATCACCCCCGCCAAGCGTGACCAAAACCCGAGGCGACAACCTGGTGAACCACGGATACACCGAGACCGAGGCGGACGTGATGACGGTCGTGGCGTGTGACAACATGCTGGAGGAGTCGGCGGCACTGCCGGGCCACCACTCTCTGGACCGATATGAACCGGATCATGAATGCTGCGAGCGGGTGGTCATCAACATCTCAGGCTTGCGCTTCGAGACGCAGCTGAAGACTCTGTCCCAGTTTCCAGAGACGCTACTTGGGGACCCAAAGAAGAGGATGAGGTACTTTGATCCTCTCAGAAACGAATACTTCTTCGATCGGAATCGACCCAGCTTTGATGCCATTTTGTATTATTACCAGTCTGGAGGGCGCATCAGGAGACCCGTTAATGTGCCAATTGACATCTTCTCTGAGGAGATCCGCTTCTATGAGCTGGGTGAGGAGGCTATGGAGAAGTTCAGAGAGGACGAGGGCTTTATAAAGGAGGAGGAGCGGCCGCTGCCAGAAAATGAATTTCAGAGACAGGTGTGGTTGCTCTTTGAATACCCAGAGAGCTCGGGTCCCGCCCGGGGAATAGCAATAGTGTCTGTCTTGGTCATTCTCATCTCCATTGTCATTTTCTGCTTGGAGACATTACCAGAGTTCAGGGACGACAACAGGGATCCGATCACAATTGCGCATGTGATAAATGGCACGCTCCCTTTTTTCATCAGCCCCTTTTCTGACCCTTTTTTTGTCGTGGAGACTTTGTGCATCATCTGGTTTTCCTTCGAGCTACTGGTGCGCTTTTTTGCATGCCCCAGCAAAGCGACGTTCTCCAAAAACATCATGAACATCATTGACATTGTGGCGATCATCCCCTATTTCATCACCCTGGGCACAGAGCTGGCGGAGCGGCAAGGGAACGGACAGCAGGCCATGTCGTTGGCCATTCTGCGCGTAATCAGGCTCGTTCGGGTGTTTCGCATCTTCAAACTCTCGCGTCACTCCAAGGGGCTGCAGATTTTAGGACAGACTCTGAAGGCCAGCATGCGTGAACTGGGCCTGCTCATCTTCTTTTTGTTCATCGGGGTCATCCTCTTCTCCAGCGCTGTTTACTTTGCTGAGGCAGATGACCCCGATTCGGGTTTCAACAGCATCCCGGACGCTTTCTGGTGGGCTGTCGTTACCATGACTACAGTGGGTTACGGAGACATGCATCCCGTCACTATAGGGGGTAAAATTGTGGGATCTTTGTGCGCAATCGCAGGTGTCCTGACCATTGCCCTGCCTGTTCCCGTCATCGTCTCCAATTTCAACTACTTCTACCACCGGGAGACGGACGGAGAGGAGCAGGCGCAGTACCTGCACGTGGGTAGCTGTCAACCTCTGGTGGACACAGAGGAGCTGAGGAAGACCCGCTCCTCCTCCTCCTCGCTCAGCAAGAGCGAGTACATGGTGATCGAGGAGCACGGGATGAACAGCGCGTTCAAACAGCAGCCCAACTTCCCCAACACCGCTCAGAACAACTCTCAGAACTGTGTGAACATAAACAAAAAGATTTTCACTGACGTGTAGCTGCAGCTGCGGAGCCATGACCCCTGCTGAGCACGGGGAGGAGTGACGTGTCAACGCGCGCAGCTTGTTGTGTCGTTGCGCAGCAGCGTTTAGAAGCAGATGTGTGTGTGAGGATGAAAACAAAGAAACGAATGGACGCGCGCGCGTCCTGTCCGCTCCAAGACGCTGCTTTCAAGAATTCGGATCTTTTGGGATTGTTTTTGATTCCAGTAACACAAATTCACACAGTCTCCTCCTTAACGTGTTCGGTGTTCTGCTCTTCTCTGAGTGAGGAAACAAATAAACCTGCTGTGCGTAATTGTGCAATAGTCGGTATACAAAACATGCATCACAACAGGTATGGATAGAAGCTTTATGACGGTGAAAAATAAACGAGAATATAAATGCTCCCGGAAGGACAGTCACACTGTATCATCATGCGTTATGAGTCGTAACCCGTGTGTATAACAACCAGTCATTTAAATATGTGTAGGTGTGTGTTCAGGCACGTGGTGATGTCAGATAGACACATTTCAGGTATAGTATCTCATATAAAGCGTTCCATGGTGTGCCTTTTGTCGTGCGTTAACGTCTAGCCCAAAATTAAAACGTCTCCACGTAAACATTAGAACCAGCTGACTACCAGCGCGAGAAGGGTGGAGAAACACGGCGCTCTCCCGCGAACACAGTTATCAAAGATGGAGCGCGTTTCTGTCTGGAAGCATCAAATATATCCCCACTGTGATGCAGTCTCCATGGTTACCCCCAGTTACCGTTGCCATGGCATCCTTGTTTCCACAGTACCCCCCCCCCCCCACCCCCCGCTAGATGGGGTGGAAGCTGTATTAAAGATTTTCGTCTGAGTGGTTTGTCTCTGGTCTCCAATTAAACTGTTTTGTTTTGTTATTACCACGTTTCGGGCCTTAAATACGAGGCCAAGCAGGCAAATGGCCCCCGCAGCCAATCAGCAAACTCTCCATGTGGCTTCAATGAGAAGAAATACTGAGGAGGTGTGATAAAATGAACTGGCCAACTAAAACAAACTGTTGCAAGTAAATGAGGGAGCTGGGAGAAGCACAGCGTGTGAGGAATTATGAATGGACTGGAACACGCAGCAGCCTGAGTGTAAAGCAGTGACTAACCAGGAGATGCCACTGTTGTCCCACTAACAACACTGGTAAGTCTTCATCACTTTTTTTGGATTAATTAAGCATAAATCCACACTGATTGTAGATTTGCAAAACAATCCAATTCAAAAATGTCATCACCTGCAGAAATGCCTTATTAGACACACTGCGTGTATTGTTGTGTATTTGTGTAGGTATGATGTCCTTGCTGTGTGTCCAGGTTGGGTTTCACCTTTAGTTGACTGTCTATAAAATCATTAAAATGCCAGTTTAAGCCTGCCAGTGTGTGCACGTTCTAACCCCTGGCGGCCACTTCTGCTAACAGAACAGATGGTTCTCACCTGCTTGGTGGCGTCTCTTGTCCTCTGCCTTTACTGTAACATTCCAGAAACAGAGATAGAAAAAACTTGATGCATCACATTTGAACTTTTAAAGGAGAGCTGATTCTTTATAAAGGTCATAGAATTAATTTTGCTTCGTAATGAGAAAAGTGAAAATGCTAATTTATTAGTTTGTGAGTTTGATCGAAAAAAAATGTTGGTCTCTTTTTCATTTCGTCAAGATATGTGCATTCCTACTCCTAATAGGCATATTTATGTTCAGCATGCTTGTTGGTGTCATTTAAACATAAAAAATATTAAATGTAAACAGTTTAATTCCAAAAATATGGTTTTGTTTTCAACCTGTCTGTGCTCATAAATTTTACTAGGAGTACTTCAATAAACAATGATGATGAACATCATTGATGCATTTCTCATTTATTTGCAAAACTAAATTGTTTTCATAAAATACTTTGCTTAATGTTATTTTCCAATTTGACCATGGAATTATTCAGACAGAACCATTGTGAATCCTTATGTTATCTCTATGTGAATTTAGAGTAATTTCTTCATTTTGTCATGGTGTATTAGCACACTGAACCTAAATGTACACAAAGATATCTAAATCCGAGAAGAAAAATTACCTTTGTTGCAGTGTAAACCACAAACATTTGTAACGAACCATTTTCAGCACCCTATAGAATAAAACCATAGGGTGCGAGTAAAACACAAAGCAGGTCAAATGTAGCTAACAACTGTTAAATGCAAGTTTTTTGCATGGAAATGCAAGGCATGTCTCAGGCGTTTTTCATGTAAAATTACTGATACTGAAAATGGAGTTCCACCTACCTTTCTGTCTACCTCTGCCACTTCCATACATGTCCAGCAGAAGACGGGATCAGCTAAGCAAGCGACAAAAAATATACATATATTTACATTTACATTACATACATATAATTACAAAGGATGTGTCATGCCCAGAAGCCACCGTTTATGTGTACCAAGCCTTAAAGTTACACACAGGGGGAAATTAGTGGCTTTACAAATCCAGTGGGTGTCCCTTCTGAATTTGTCCACCAGGAGGCAGCAAAGAGCTCACTCCCTGAAGGAGAAAGTTTTCCCTGCTGCACCTAGCAACTATTTATGCGTGGTTTTGTGATTGGGTGATGTGGTTTGTATCTCAGCCTATAAGCTTGGTCTTGTTTTTCTTCCTGACTCTGAGTCCTAGCTTACAGTTTATAGCAGCGAGAGCCGACAGACAGCTCCGATTGTAGGATTTCATTCTGCTGCAGATTCCTGGTTGCGTATTAACAGGGGTAATGCTACCAATGATCCATCACACGTATGCTCGTGGACTGACTCCAGAGGGTTAAGGTATTATTGACTTTTGGGTTATTTTGACATTTTCAGCCGCTTATCCAGAGTTGGGTCGCGGGGGCAGAAGCCGAGAGGCCCAGACTTTCCTCTCCCCAGCTACTTGGGCCAGCTCCCCCGGGGCATTCCCAAGGTGTTCCCTGGACAGTCGAGAGTCACAGTTCCCCCAGCATTTCTTGGGTCTCCTCCTGGTTGGACATGCCTGGAAAACCCCACCAGGTAGATGTCCAGGAGGCATCCTGACCAGATGCCTGAGCCACCTCAACTGGCTCCTCTCGACGTGAAGGAACAGCAGATTTACACTGAACCCCTCTCAGATGACCAAAATCTCACCCTATCTCTAAGGGAGCCCAGCCACCCTGTGGAGAAAATAAATTTAGGTCGCTTGTATCTGCGATCTAGTTCTTTTGGTCATTACCAAAGCTCGTGACCATAAGTGAGGGTAGGAACGTGGATCGACTGGAAATTTGAGAGCTTTGCCTTCTGACTCAGCTCTCTCTTCACCACGACAGATCGGTACAACGCCTACATCACTGCAGACGCAGCACTAATCCGCCTATCAATCTCGTGCTCCAGCTTTCCCTCACTCGTGAACAAGACCCCGAGATACTTAAACTCCTCCACTTGAGGCAGGACCTCATCTCTGACCCAAAGAAGGCATTCTACCCTTTTCCGAATCAAGACCGTGGCCTCGGATTTAGAGGAGCTGGTTATCATTCCAGCTGCTTCACACTCAGGTGTGAACCGCTCCAGCGAAAACTGGAGATCATGTTCTGATGAAGCCAACAGGACCACACCAGCTGCAAAGAGCAGAGACCTGATCCTTAGGCCACCAAAATGTATCATCTCAACACCTGGGCTGCACCTAGAACTCCTGTCCATAAAAGTTATGAACAGAATTGACGACAAAGGGCAGTCTTGGAGAGTCCAACTCTCACCGCCACCGGAAACAAGCCCGACTTTCTGCTGGCAATGCGGACCAAGCTCTGACACCGGTCATACAGGGACCTAACAGCCTGTATCAAAGGGCCTGGTACCCCATACTCGTGGAGTACCCCTCACAGGGCCTCCCAAGTTCAAACACTTTCTCCAAACAAAACACAGTAAGATTGGTTGGGTGAACTCCCATGCGTCCTCCAGGATCCCCCTGAGGGTACAGAGCTGGTCCAGGACGAAAACCTCATTATTCCTCCTGAATCTGAGGTACGGAAATCCGATGGACCCTCCTCTCCAGAACCCCTGAATAAATCTTCCCAGGGAGGTGCAGTAGTGTGATCCCCCTGTAGATGGAAAACACCCTGCAGTAATTAAACTCATCATGCTGAACATTGGCTGATTACAATCATCAGCCAACATTTCAGAGCTTCTCAGTTTTTCTTATTATTAAGTAGTTGAAAAAAAAGAATAATTAAGTTAAAAAATCCCTTAAGTATCCCTTAATATTAACAGATTTAATTTGAACAGAATCAAACACTGTTGGGTAAAAGCCAGTGTCCTAATTCAGGTCTCAGAAGACTCTAGCCTTCTGTTAGTGTAATAACTTTAGTTTCATCTGATGACATTTCCATGCGAAAAACATCTATCAGTGGAAACAACAAATGTTTTATTTTTTTTTGTTTACACTGGCTGCCTAACTCTTTCTTCTTCTGTTCCCTAGAGCTTGTGGCGTTTACAGTGAAATAATTTGATGCAGAGACAGAAAGAAAAGTTTTTGCTCAATTGTGGATAAACTGACTGATTGCCATAACAGTTTTATCCATCTCTGTCTCTCTCAGGTGAAAGTTCCCTCAGGCTCTTGGGCCTGAGATTGTAGAGTTCAGTCCGCTTTCTAATTAGGTAAATACCTTGTACTTTAATAAAAGCCCTAAATATGTTCTGGTTTAAAAAATACAAATCTAAAGCTATAAACATTTTTCTTTCAGGGCAACAGCAAGACTCTGGTCTGCTCCTGTTTGGTCGGATGGGCCAAATTTACAAATCAAGACTGAAATCACTCTGGATCAGTTCTTCTTATTCCTCTGTCCTCTTGCTTTCAACTGGTGCCCTCAAACTGGACTGGTGACCAGCAGTTGTCCAACTGCAGTGGACCAACCAAAAATGCAATCCCCACAGGTACAAGAGAAACCAGTTCACTTATGTAGCTGCAATCGTGTGATGTATGTGAAGGAGTTGACCCGCTGTAAATGGAAATGTCAAGGGATCAAAAGTGATTCAGACATTCAAATAAATAAATAAATAAATAAATAAAAGTCAGCAGGATATGTTTTATTAGCATTCTCCCATGCTGCTTTTGATGCAAAATTTAAAGATTCAGAAAACAGCCAGCACTTTTGCAAGGCACATTTCACTTTACAGGAGTATTTCCAGTTTATTTATTTATTTTTTGTATTTTTACATATTTTATTTGTTTCTCAGAGGTAAAACACATCATGAATATGTAATAAAATGTAATAAAATGACAAAAATAGAGGCCATCTGTGATTTCCTGATATGAAACTGTGATACTAATCAAAGACTGTTAGCCATATGCCTTTGTTAGCTCTTTGTGGTTCGTGTTGCTAATATGTAAAAAAAACACATTTATGAATGTGTGATGGTTGCTGCTATTCACTTGATGTATCCATGAAGAATAATACAGAGGCGTTTACACACATGGGTACACATGCCTATGGATGTGTCCCCTCTATCCCAAAGTGCACTATTGATTGTTTGTTTTTGGTGGGTAGGGCAGAATGCTGATGGGGAAGGCTGTGTGTGACAGGATTTATTCCATGTTATTGTGCGCTGTCTTCAACATGACCCATATAAAGAGATTATGAGGTGTGGCGTCTTTCTTTGAGAGGAGCTGTAGTCTGCATTCACGCATTTGGTAAAAACAAAGTAGTCATCCCCACCAGAGAGCATGTTTGCGGCTTTATTAACTGTTCTGCAAATCTAATAACTCTATATCACTGAATGAATTAATGATTCTTTACTTATTTGATTGTGATTCTCAGTGTCATAGGTATCGAGCTAGTTGTTGGTGTAGAAGTAGCCGAGTCATTGCATATATCGCATACACGCGCACTAACTCGCACACACCTGATTAATCCTTTGAAAATACAAAAATTGCCAAACATCTCTCCATTTTCCATTTAATTATTTGCAATTTCTGAGGCTTGTAGCCATTCATGACACGTACACTTATACCTTTGTTATTTTGTTCAGGTAATTTTTCTCTAACTTCCTAAATTGTCAAGAGAAAAATGACAAAAGTTCCAGATGAACTGATTCAGTAGAAATTTTTTCTTTCAATTACAGGTGAAACTCGAAAAATTGGAATGTCATGAATTTATTTCAGTAACTAAAGTGACAATGTGTAGTTTTTACTGTTAATCTCTGGAAACATCCATTGAAATGTTGTTGAAAATGAGTTAAATTATGACCAGTTGATGAAAATATTGGCGGCTTTGTAACATATGACCATAAAAATCTAGTCTAAAATACATGGGTGTGGGTCTAAGTCTCTGGGCGACAACAATGTTTCCTTCTACGTGAGCCTGTGAGGACAAAATGCATTTACTGATTTGTAACAAGCGGTTACAAAACGTTTGCCATTCGTAAATGTCGTTGTCGTACACATTTACCTCTTAACTCGTTGCCATTGATGAAAGGAAGTCTGATTATTAGCCTTCAGCTTTATCGCTGCCTGTTCCGACTCCAACCTGGACCGACATCCTAGGTAGTTTAGCTCCTGTTTATTTGCCAGAGTTAACCAAACTACAGACCTCTGCATGCCCCCTCGACATCTGACCCTCATCTTTGATTAAAAATGCTTTTCATTCCATTGGTCCCAGTATGCTCTCTATAATTAATTCTTCACTGGTGTAATGATTTGAAGTTATATATTTATACACTGTAATTAGATCTAAGTATTATAATCAGAAGTGGTTGTTTTTATCATCAGGGAGTTTACTTAAACACTCTGTATTGACTGAGAGACAAGAAAAGAGAGAGTTGGGATCATTTAAGAATCTTTAATTTCTATAATTATAAATTCTTACAATCTACCAGGACTATCTCAATGATGGATGCATATGGATTTGGATGTTTCGTGTTGGTGTGTGTGTGTGTGTGTGTGTTGTTCAGAATCTCTAGGCTGACGTGGCGAATCTGGTTGTTATGACTAGGAACCACGAGGCTTCAGAAGCTGATGACATGAGCCGCCATTTTGTGCCGTGACCACGTACCTATGGAGTCTCCCGTGTAGATCAGGAAATGCCAGGTCCTCGGACCTCGGATGTACCGGAGCTGGTGAAACAGCGGTCGCAGCACTACAAAGCCCGTCTGTGGGTCGGCTCCGGTAGCAGTCGGCAGGCGTCAGCAAGTTCACTCTTATTTTGAATGAACGTCGTCTAGTTGTTCAAACGACGGAAACTTCCAGCTTGACAGTTCTCAGCTTAAAGTAGAAAGTACAGCTGGCCAGCCTGTAACTTTCTTAATGATGACGATGGAAATCCTTAGGACCTCCACATGAATGGAACTGAGGTTAACATGGAACTGAGTATAAAATGGCGTTGCCTTGTTTTATATCTCCCAGTTGTTTATAAATCTTAGTAAACCGGATTGGACGACTTAAGTAAACAACCCAGATTCTCTCTACGACAGACGAAAGTTCTGATTGGTTGAAAACAATGTGTCATGCGTTTCCATGGTAATGTAGATCAGTCTGTCTGGTGCAGTCCTGTTTATTCATTAAACACATAACTCATCATTCCATTCCAATCATTACACTGGTTTCTGTTCAGGTCCCTGCTTACTTTAAGAATGCTGTAATCCACACGCTTCTTGCAAAACCCAATCTTGATCAGTCTCTCCATAGCAGCTTCAGACCAATCTCTAAACTTCAATTCATCTCCAAGATCTTGGAAAAGGTTGTGGCTGAACAGCTCACAGCTGCTCTTGATGAACAGAACATCTATGATAGCTTCCAGTCAGGTTTTCCTAGAGCTCGTTCTACTGAAACAGCTCTTCTTAGGGTCTCTAATGACCTTCTGACCTACAGTGATGCAGGGGACTGTTCTCTTCCGGTTCTGCTGGACCTGACTGCAGCCTTTGACACTGTTGACCATCACCTGCTACTGGAGAGGCTGAGAGACTGGGTAGGCCCACCAAAGAGTTCCTGAGCCTGTGAATGATCTCTGAGTCTAAGCTGAATTACGGAAATAAATTGACTTTTACACCATATTCTAATGTTTTGAATTTCACCTGTATTGCATCAATTCTTCATTTAAAATGACAGTTTTATTGCAATATTAAAATAATAACAATAGGAATAATAATAATTTGTGAGACATTTTGATTTTTATTGCTTCCTTTCATGAGTAAGTAGGACACTTCAGATAAAAACACACTAAACACAATGGTTTAAACATTGTTTAGACTTCAAACTGACAGTTTTTGGAGAACAATGGTGCCGAATCACAGGTTTTCATCTACAAACCAACATCAGAAGGGCCTTTCTGTCACAGACAAGCTGGACCGGTTCTTTAATAGAGAGCAGCATTTATAAACATCAGTGAAGTCACACCAAAGACAAACATTAAAAGGAAAGTGACAGCTATGAGAGCCACAGCGGAACAGCCTGCAGGGATTTATTTTGAGCTTGGAAAAGAGAAGGTGATTCCCCGCAGCCTTGGCTGCCTGTTAGGAGAACAGAACCGGGCTGTGGAAACCTTCATGTCTTCTCTGTGCCAAAGAGGTAAATATTAACAATGTAACAGGGGATTGCAGCACTGCCTCTGCCATGCTGTGTATGCTCGCTTCAGTGAGCCCACCACTTCTCTGATCACGCAGCCGTTTGTCAGGCATTTTAAAAATAACAAGCGAAGTTATTATTTTTTGTCCCTACTCATCAAACATGAATTTGAAGTTACTTTGCTGCGTTTGTTTTCATCCAAGCTCTCCACCATCCTTGTTGCTACACTAGGAAGTCTCCATAGTAACAAGGGAAGGCGGCTGGCAGGATGGAGGGAACAGCAGCAGCTTCAGCTTTGATAGGAGAGATCAGCACTTACTCTGTTTGAATTAGCGCCAACCACTAAACCATTTACTGTGGATGTGCACGGCTTGTGAGAAGAAATTTTATTTATGAGCACTAACGACTATGAGGATGTTTCTGGAAGAGGATGGGAGCAGACTGGGTCTCAGCAAGCAGGGACTTTGTTTGGAGAGCAGCGCTAAGATGAGCTAAGACAAGGCCAGCATCCCTGACTGCACATGCACCCAAATAATAAGCTTCTATATAAAAATCATGGTGGTGACATTTTGTGAAACAGCAAAGGTCACTGGAACAGAAGATAAAATGAAAAAAAAAAGGAAAATAAAAGGTTTCTAGGATTTTTCTTGATATTCTGAAACATTCTTCTGTGTACAAGTTGTCATTAATGCATTTTATGCATGTAGTTTTTCCCAAACGGCCTCTGTCCAGAGTCTTTGTCTGAAAAGCTGATGAGCTGTCTGAACGCAGTAGGGGGTGAAGTCTGGAATTCCCTCATATTTCTGCTAAAATCCCCTTGTGATACATAATACACAACATACTCTAACCCTAACCCAGTTTTCCATTCAGTACTTAAAATTTTATGTTTGCTATAAGCATGATAAAGATCAGATGAATGCAAAGCTAAAAATTGTTGTCCAGACTGCTGTTTGGTGAGCTGCAATCTTTTGCACGCTTAAAATCTGAAAGCTGCAGATTTTGGACAACGATTCTGTGCAGAACCGTCACATCAACAAACCTACTAAAAATCTATTAAATCTAAGTAACAACCGTCTCTGTGCAAAAATAAAACAACCAAGAACCTGCAATTGTGCTTGTGGACCATATTCTTTCACTTATTTCTGAGCAAATTATTTCTCTAAAGTACACTTTTTACTTTTTACATTAAGACAAAAGTTTCTGTAAACAAATAATTTAAAATACTCTTATTTCGAAATACCTCATAAATTATTTATCTAAAAATACCAGAACTCACTAATTACATACATATAAATCTGAACAAACAATAACGTTGACTGAAAAGAAAACTATTTGCTGTATTTTGATGCAGCCTCTGCTGACGATGATTACCCAGGATGCTGTTGCTAGTGCTTTCACATAAATTTGATTAATTCTGCAAGCTGATTGGCTGATCAGTGATAGACATGCAGCAGACAAGACAGACTCTTTAAATGGCCAACAGTCTAAACATAGAAACACCCTGACACACACATCTAAACAATCTACACCTATTTTCCTTTGATTTTAAAAATCATGCATTCTTTTTTATCAGCTGTTGGAGGTCTGTGATCTGCTGCCTGTATAGTCAGTTGTTGTTGTCACAACAAACAGACAGATGGTGGAGAGGGTGATGAAGTAGCAGAAAGAAGATGCTGCTATGCTTCACGCTGGATGACTCATCACTCTGTCACTGTGACCTTTATCTGCTCCTCTCTCCACCTCGTATTTCTTTTCCCTTTTATTTTTATTATCAGCATTCCTTTTATCTCGGTGGGTGTGCCACTCCCCTTCTCACATCCTCTACGTGCCCTGTCATACAAATCTGCACATAATGAGAACATTTACATTTTCTTTCCTCTCTCGCTCCCTTTGAATCTTTTTTATTTCCCTGAGGAAGTCTCATCTGTCTAAAGTGGGTAATTCTGATTATTTCACAAACTGTAGCTTTTAGACCCACAATTCAGGTAGAATAATAATCATTATGGTTTGTATTTAACATCATCCTGTTAGTCAGCCTTTGACTGACATCAGAAAACAATCAGTGGAGCATCTAAAGCTGCATATTTCATATTTATGCACAGCTGCATCTGCAAATCGGACATCATTTACATGCTGCCCTCTGAGATAAGCACACATTTGGAAACATATCGATTCCCTCTTTGTTTCCTTAAAGGCCAAGAAAACAAGAGAATGTGAAACAAAATCAATTCAGGAGTACTCCACTCTGAAAGTAAGCAGATCTCTCTAGAGGGCCGTGATCATGACCAGCCTGGCTGAATTTCAACAAGAGAGGCAGAGAACTTCCAAGGTCACCGTCTATTTATAGAGGATGGGCCTGAAGAATGGAGAGAAGATCCGATCAAAAAGAGGGAAGAAGGTCTAAACAAGTAGATGCAGAAGCAAAGGTCTCAGGATTGATGTGAGGCACAGGATCGAGAGGGGGAAAAGGTTCTTTCATGCATCAGTAATAACATATTTACATAGACAGACATCTGTTGCTTTGGAGTATTTTGCAGAAATGAAAAGGTAGAACACCTATACAGGTATGACTAGTTTCAATATTAGCTTGGATTCAGTTACAAGCAAATTATCAAGATCACTGCAGAAGAATGAGGTTGAGTGAAATCTCACGTGTGTTCCCAGGATAGTTTTATGAGTGAAGATCATCTACAACAGAAGCCCTGGTGTGCCACCTTAAGGCAGCAGAATTTGGAGTCTTACTTTAGGACATCTCTTTTCTGATTGGCTAGCAACACGACTCTACCACTTATTCAGTTAGCTTTGCAACGTTGATGTTTTATCTTCACAAATAACACAAGCCTGGAGGAGTTCCGCTGTGTGGCGGAGTTGCTAATGCTAATGACGGTTAGCTTCTACTAGTTGAGACGTTCTCTGCTGATTCCTGGATGCTAAACCAACAACCGCCTTCCCCGTCACAAACCAAGATGGGTGAGTCCATGAATGTTAAGTGACAGTGTGATGTAGTTCTAGTATGTCAGCTCAATTTTTTAAAGTCCCAACAGACCAGACTGGCAATTCTGAAGTTGAAAGTGGAATATTTTTGCCACAGAGGGTGATAGGGGCTGGGTGGCCTTTCAATAACCCTGTAAAAGGGTCATTTTAGCACATACTGGCTGAAAAAATGATTTTAAAATATGAAAAAGTTGCAAAGTATCCCTTTAAAACATGCTTTTTTCAGTGTTCCACGCCGTTAATTAGGAGATGCAAGCATCAGGACATTTGCATTCATGGATTTAGTCATAAATGCCTCTGAAAAGCAAATTATTCAAAAGTTAAAATCAAGTCCATCTGTCAGGCTGCTGAAGCCCACTGAAACTGGGTCATGCAACAGGACAACGTTGCCAAGCACACACACACACACACACACACACACACACACACACACACACACACACACACACACACACACACACACACACACATCTATGACAAAAAAGGCTTAAAAGGTAAAAGTTGCAGCAGCCAGCGTCCAGATTTTCCTTCTCAGAAACTGCCAAATGACTTGAAGGGAACTGTTCATAAATCAGTGCTTCTGACTCTTAATGAACAGAACAGCTGTGGGAAGAGTGGGCCAAAATTTCTCCACAATAGTGTCAGAGCCTAGTGTTAGCAGACAGATGACATTTACCTCCAAATATTTCATCTGAGGTTAGAGAATCGTGAGAAGTGATTCTGAGACCTGCTCATGACAGCATGGATCATTATGCTGTTAGTTATTTGTGCGTGTTCCTTTTATTAAATGAATCTATTTAAAATGTAAAACTAAAACACATAAACGTGTCTTGCACACAGACATAAAACATTCTGACTGTATTTTTAGAAGCTGGATGATTAAACGTGTTTTTTGGTGAAGCGCTGCTGGCTGCATCAGAGTTTTCTCCTTCCTACTTTGAGCGTGAGCCATCACCTGCTGCAGCTCCAGCAGAGGTCATCCAGGACAAAGCTCCTCCCCTGCAGTCTGCTGTCACGACCCCCTTTTATTTACCCTCTGCGTGTCTCTTTTCCACATTCCCTCTTTTTACTTCCACGTGTTCTGCTGCATGGGAAGAGTGGAGAGTATGAAGGTCTGCAGAATCACAAACACAAAACATCCTCATCACCCAAGCTCCCCTTGTGGGGGCTACTGGGAAAATCACGTGTTTACGAGACCTAATGGGATACTTGCTTTGTTGGGAATGATCCTATATTTTTATTGTATCTCAACCTCTGATATGCCGCCTGCTTATTTTGAGACCTGCAATATTAAATATAACCAACTAGATTCATCAGTCAAAAATATCCTTCGAAAATTTAAAGTTCTCTGGTCTTTTTGAAGTCATATGACCCAAATAGCTGGAAAACATTCTATGGTTTCACTCTGAGGTTCTAGGTGACCTGCAGAGCGTAACTTAAAACATAATCAATGATCCATATCTGTTCGAAGCTGAAACCAACTGAAGGTGAACTGAAATGCGGAAGGCTGCTTTGTGCTCTCCGAGTTCTCCCTCCCAACACTAAGAATTTTTAGATGTTTTTCTGCTCCAACACACCTGATTTGAGTTATTGTGTGATTGACAGGCTTCCTCAGCAGTATATGACATGCTGAAGAGGTATTCAGTCATTGCATCTAGAAACACAGCTTTTAACAGGTACACGGAAAAGTGACCACATAATCCTGGTCTTAGCTTTCCTTCACTGGCTCCTTGTTTGCTATAGGATTGATTTAATGCTAATTTTTAAGGCACTTAATGGATTGGCCCCTTCCTATTTAAAAGAACTCAAAACATCACTCTAACACTAGAAAACTTAGGACAAACAATCAGATGTATCTCACTGGGCCCAGATCTAAATACAAAAGTAAGGGTGATTGTGCCATTGCAGTGTCCGCTCCAGGTTTGTGGAACAAGCTCCCTTTTAATATTAGATCTGTTTGGGAGACTTTAAAAAGCTGCTAAAAACTCATTTTTTTCTCCATGGCTTTGAGGAAGTATTGATATTGCTCATTTTTTCTTCTAATCTTAGGATTTGTATTTTCTTTTTACTTTTCATCCTTGTTTTATGATCATGATTTCTTAATATTTTATAGTTCTGCTGAGATTGTTTGTTTGCATTGGTTTAGTTTTTGTTGTACAGCACTTTGGTGCAGCTCTGTTGTTTTTTGAAGTGCTTTATAAATACATTTGACATTGACATGCAGAATAGTGGTTCTCCAGAACCAGAACTGGTCACCACAGCAATGCAAGACAAACATAAAATGGTTAAAATAACAATAACTGTTGGAACACTACAAACAACAACAATCCTCAACAAAAACAGAATGTAATCAGACAACCCTGCATGTCTAAAATGCTACTGCACAGGAAAAACTGTAATGTTGTTACTTTGCATCGTGTGAACAAAGCCAACAAATGAAAAAAATATTAAATATCAAACATATTATTTTCAAATACAATTACACATGCAAACAAAACACTTACTGGGATTTTAGTCAAGTTTATTGTGTTCAGACAGAGCAAGCCATTCATCTCCCCAGACTATTTAATATTATTTATTTACTTATTTATTGTTGAAATAGCCTTAGTTTTGAAACACAGAGAGTGAATCATTAATAATAATGCAACGTTTAAAGCTACAATGGCAAATCTACAAAACAAATTTGCCTAAAACATTTCTTTCATGCCTCTTAAACAACATTCTAACAAAGTATGGCTGTAAAAATATTGAGGAAATTAAAATAAAAACATAAAATTATGATGTGGTTCTCTTGCATTTGTCAAAAAAACCTCAGCCTAAAACATGGATCGGTCCAAAAAAACAATGATTGGACAATTGGTTGCCTGTCTCTCCAGACCGCCATGTTTCTTCACTTCCCATAGGTTCTCCATTCATTGCGCATGCACACATTTTGCAACATAACACCACTGGTGTTAGAGGATCTCCACTCTATAATATCAGAGAAGGAGAAACCACTGGCTGCAACTACAAGAGTCCAAAAAAGAAAAACACAATTTGAAGTCATGGAAAACAAAAGATGTTTGGACCTAGAAAAGGTGACTGGTGTTTAGCGCTCTCTCGTTTACTCTGTCATTGCAGGTTTCCAGTTCTGTGGCGTAGGGATGACCGATGGGAGGGGTGAGAGTTATGTGACCATGTTTGTGTTTAAAAGCCAACTTGTTTTACAGATTAAAGCCATTGCAGCTTTTATATGGACTGGAGTAAATTAACTGTGGTTTGATAGCAATCTTGACTCAAACAGTGTTTAACTCTAATATCTTCTCAGTCTTTCTTTTCCTGATTTATTCCACTCACACAGAAGACTGGGAGATGTTGGCTCAGCTCTCTCCTTCCTAGAACTTCAGAATGGTTCTCCTTTATTTACATTCACAGCTGATGAGGATTTTAAGGGTCTTGGTCATCAATCAGACTGTTTATGTAGCAGCTCTCATTGAAACCTTCAGAAAAATTGGCAAACTGACTAAGCTGGCTCCCTGCTTAGTCCAGATTGAGCTACTACTGCTGCTCAGGCATCCAAACGCTTTCATCGAAATCAAGATTCTGATAAATGGACAAACGAGAGATTGTAAATCCTGTTAAATTCAGGCAGTATAGAAAACATCTGAGCAAGCAGAGCAAAACGTGCTGGACACTGACCCTCAAGGCCCGGAATGGAATAGCCCTGTTCTAGGCTCTAAGTGTCACAATCTAATCAGCTAATCAATCCAAAACACCTGCAAAGGGTTTCTGGGCCTTTAGAGGGTCTCTCAGTCTAATAACTGAAACGAATGGACTTTTGCACCACATTCAAATTGTTGGAGTTTGTATTTTAATGAAGGGTCAGAGTTGATGAGCCTCACAGCCTTAGAGAATAGCATGCTCCTGGGCTGTTGTCTGGGCTTTGCGGCTGATACATGTCTTTCCTGAAGGAGGGATGATGAATAATTTATGAACTGGATGAGTGAGGTCCAACCACTTAGACTTTATTTTATTTATTTATTTATTTATTTATTTAGCTGTCTTTCTGAACTTGTCTGAATTCAGAGCAGCTTTTTATTTCTTTTTTCATTTATTTATTTATTTATTTATTTATTTATTATGCTCTTTTTATGAACACATTCTGGCAAGCTGACTGATGTCTGCCGGGAGGATTGCCCAGTTAAGTTTGGCTGTTTCCATGTGACATCATTTAAAATCTTAACAATAAAATAAATGAACATCCCATCGTTAGCTCCTGGCCCACTGGTTTTATGATCATTTGTGAACTCCTTATTTGTGCGAGTCTCTGTCATCCTTTATTCTCCGGTGAGAGATTCGTTCCTTGGTGAAAGGCGATGCTTCCTCTTTAATGTGAAAGCAGCGACGAGAGGAGGAAGAGGGAGCGCGCGCAGGGATGGGGCGAGGCGCGCACGAGGCTTTTAGTATGCGCTGCGATGCCCAACTGCAGCCCACTCATCCCAACTACGGTGAATTATGGTGAAATATGAGAGACCAGGCGAAGAGACCGGCAGCTAACGCAGCAGTTACTCGTGATGAGGGGACAAGGCGGGCTGCGCAAATTAGTCTAAATAAGTGGAGACGGACAGATACAGAGCAAGGACCTAAAGGCAACTTAAGAGAAGAGACGGAGCGGATCAAATCCGCGCGTCTTCGCACCGAGAGAATCGCGGTGAATTCCTGCATGCCATTAGCCTCTCTGACATGATGCTGTAGCCCAAACAGAATGCTGTGCTGCTTTTGTTTTTAGTGCATGCAGACTGCTGTGGCTGTCCTCACCCAGAGGAAGAAAGCTGCAAATGGCTTGTGCATGCCTGGCACCTGTCGTTCCAAACAACTGCAAGCTCACCATACATCTCCATATTATATCCAACTGCATGCATTTGGCTGCTTTCTCTCAGATCTCTCAGAGAAAAAACAATAATTGTATTTTTTATGTGATTAAAACTGCCACCAGATGATTGTGTGATTACTGGAATGTGGCTGAGGACGCACACCTGTTTCACTTTTGTATTTTTTTTAAATATTTGTCTTTAGACAGTAAAAATGAGATATTAGAGGATATTTTGGTTAAACAATTATAAGGCTGACCTAAACGCCATAAGTGGTAACATGTTTGAGGATCAAACAGGTGACTGTGCCTTACATGATGCGCTGAAGCATAGGTGTTTTTGAATAAAAGATGCTGTCAGCAGCTCTTCTGCCTCGTCTCCTCTGCAGCTGCTGAATGACAGGATTACATTTCTCGTAGCTGTTGGCATGTTTATTCTGGATTTATCAATTCTTTTGATGATGTCAGCATTAAGTTTTCTCATTGCATCCCCTGAATCTGCATCACAACATGTTTGTGTTGGAGGAGAGGGAGGTAAATCCTGCATCCTCACACCTTAATTCCACCCTCCGGCTAGTCCCACCGCAACCTTGCTGCAGAGCTGGGGAGCCTCCGGTGATTTGCGACTTTTAGAAAGGAGCTAATTTAAAAAGAGGGCAAGGACTTTGCACCGGGGACTTCATCTAAATCTGTTTTCCACCAGGGGATATTATGTAAACAAGAAGTGCCAGCAGGTATGACACTGCTGCTTTTCTTGTATGTTCTCAGTCCATTTTTTTTGTTAAAATAATAAATAAAAATGTAAAAACAAATAGAACTGTTCAATGCATTGTGTTGACCGTCTCACCATGATCTTCTGACAAATGCAGCCAAACAGATCTGAGCAAGCATTTTTTTCCTCTTTGAAGGTAAATCCTGATGCACGAAATGATGATCCATCTCTGAGGTTCTGTGGAGCACTCAGCACATAATCAGATCTTTTTGTTGTAACTGCACCCTGTGAGAGTGGATGTAGTATTAGTGGCTAGCATATTGATCCTGCAGGGTGCTCATATGAGACAGAACTCATAACTTAATACACATAGACCCAGTGGAGCCGATGAGATTTGTTTTCATCTTCTCTGCTCTTGTGCACTAGCAGGAATGGCCCAAAGTGGCTTTCTGGGAAAATGTGACAACTGTATTTTTAAAGAAAGAAAATAATTCTTATGGGATTAAGTTTTGTTCTCTGCTCATTGCATGCAGCACAGAGCAACAAGTAGTTACATCTCTCATTTCTGTCCCTGCATGCTTGCAGGCGGACCTGCCTGTGCCTGAACCCTCCAGCGTTTGGAGCCTTTACGTCCTCGTGGCCCAACGTGGCCCCCGCCCTATCTGAAAGCTGCAGGCCCCATCTTCTTCCACCATGACGGTTGCCACCAGCGACCCTGCAGATGAGGCGGCACATTCAGGTCAGCCTCATGACCAGTATGATCTCGAGCCGGATCACGAATGCTGTGAGAGGGTCGTCATCAACATCTCAGGCTTACGCTTTGAGACTCAGCTCAAGACGCTCTCTCAGTTTCCAGAGACGCTGCTTGGTGATCCTAAAAAAAGGATGAGGTACTTTGATCCCCTCCGTAATGAGTACTTTTTTGACCGGAACCGGCCGAGTTTTGATGCTATCTTGTATTACTACCAGTCTGGAGGGAGGCTACGGCGGCCTGTCAATGTGACTCTGGACATTTTTTCCGAGGAAATTAGGTTTTACGAGTTAGGAGAAGAGGCCATGGAAATTTTCAGGGAGGACGAAGGCTTCATAAAGGAAGAAGAGCGACCACTGCCAGAGAATGATTTCCAGAGGCAAGTGTGGCTTCTGTTTGAATACCCAGAAAGTTCAGGCCCAGCTCGAATCATCGCCATCATCTCTGTCATGGTGATTCTCATCTCCATTGTGAGTTTCTGCCTGGAGACACTGCCGCTTTTCCGAAACGAAGAAAATGATAATTACAATTATCCAGCTCCGTCCATGTCCAACTCCACTTCTAATTATTACAGCTCACCATATTTTACAGATCCGTTCTTCATCGTGGAGACCCTCTGCATTATCTGGTTCTCCTTTGAGTTCCTCGTCAGATTCTTTGCTTGTCCAAGCAAAGCTGGATTTTTTGGTAACATCATGAATATCATAGATATTGTTGCAATCATTCCTTACTTCATCACCCTTGGCACAGAACTTGCAGAGAGGCCAGAGGATGGCCAGGCAGGTCAGCAAGCTATGTCTTTAGCTATCCTTCGCGTCATCCGTCTGGTGAGGGTGTTTCGTATCTTTAAACTCTCTCGCCACTCTAAAGGACTCCAGATCTTAGGACAAACTCTGAAAGCTAGCATGCGTGAGCTGGGCCTGTTAATCTTCTTCCTGTTCATTGGTGTAATCCTCTTCTCAAGTGCCGTCTACTTTGCAGAAGCAGATGAGCCTGATTCACAGTTTAGCAGCATCCCAGAAGCCTTTTGGTGGGCAGTGGTTTCCATGACCACTGTAGGCTATGGAGACATGGTACCAACAACCATTGGAGGAAAAATTGTGGGGTCTCTCTGTGCAATTGCTGGCGTGCTGACTATCGCCTTGCCCGTGCCTGTCATTGTGTCGAACTTCAACTATTTCTACCACAGAGAGACAGAAGGAGAGGAGCAGGCGCAGTACCTGAACATCCCAAGTGTGCCTAAAGCCAGCTCAGCTGATGATCTGAAGAAGAGTGGACGGAGTGGCAGCGGATCCACGCTGAGCAAATCTGACTATGTCGAGATCCAGGAAACTGTGAACCACAGCACTGAGGACTTCAGACCAGAGGCCAAGAAAACAGGAAACTGCACATTGGCCAACACCAACTTTGTAAACATCACAAAGATGCGTACAGACGTGTAGTGGGTGGTCCAACTAAACGTCAGCTGTCTCCTTCTGCTGATCCACAAAGAATGAGCATACCGTTACTTTGCAGGTATTGAGGAAACCCTCAAGTTTTCACTCTCTTAATGGACTGATCAGTGTACATTGTAAAACTGCCACCTGTCTTATGTCAGACATGTTGAATGTGTGCATGAAGTTCACCTGTAGTTGTACTTATCCTGCTTGTAACTGTAGCCAGGCAGTAGCCAAACCAGTAATAATCAAACATCATAAAGGGACCACTAGCATCTATCTTAGTGCTCAAACTGCTGCAAAAACAAGTTGGATGAATATTTTTCATCTCAAGAAAATGCAATGAACTTGTGTGATGAAAAACTAGCAACATTCACAAGCATCTTTAAACTGTTGCTCTTACTGCCAAAGCCTTGACAGGGCAAATCTGAGCTGAACAACAGACACAAAGTGTTTTACTGCACAATGTCGTAGTCACAGATGAATTATGAGTGCATTTCAGGGTTCGTCTTTTGGCCCTCACTTGGTTTTCCAGTTTAGGGCTCTCAGAAAAGGGGAAATGACTGGCTAGCAGCAAATCTGGAACTCAGCAGTTCAGTAAAGTTAGTTTTTTGCCTATCTTCCTCATTAAATCTTGAATGGAATTACAGAACACACATATTTTCTGTAATCACAAGCTAATAATCTGCCATTTGTATTTTAATCAGTCCAGACAAGCAGGTTATCAAATATATAAATGAGCATTTAGAATGTCTTTTTTCATTTATTTAAGTTCTCTTTTATTTCAGTTTGTTTTTGGAAGTAATTTGGCTTTTCTTTTTAATATTGATGGGATATGTTTTTATATGTGTCAGAATGTCTTTTTTAATTTTTTTTATCATTTCGTCACAACTGTTACTGTTCAGAACTTCTCACCATTCCATGTTAAAATTGAGATTGAGATGAAATTTATTTTAAAGTTTGAATGTTCAATTTAAAGCAACTTTATTTGTAACTTCTTGCAGCAATGTGAACTCATACGGTCAATTCTTCCCTATAGGAAGCCTAGGCCATGCCCATCTACTTCTGAACAATGGGTCCACGGAAGAACGAAAAAATGAATGTGTGTCAATAAGTTGTTTTCCAATTCCATTTATGTGCCATGGATTTCATATTTAATATTTGTCAATTTTAAAAACACATTCTGATGCCAATTTCAAAAGTTATTTTAGGTTTTGTGTGAAAAGGGGGTGGGGTGGTGGTGGTGGTGGCAGGTGGGGGTGGGGGGGGCATGTCCTCCCACTTTTTCCAAAGTCAATTTTTGGCCCCCTGCACTTTTTACCATCCCAAAACAATATTACACTACATTAGACACTGGTTGAGCAGTAGGACCAAGCAGAAAACAACCTATTGTGTTGAAGCCTGTTTCACATTAGAACCGTGCATAAGCTCATCTACTGGCTCCACTGATACTTGCTAGTGTGTGATTGGCCGTTCCTGCCACCTGTGTATTTGACAGTTCTGCATTCCTGACATTGCATAAAAGAGCCTCTAGGTTGTGGTTTTATACATATTTTTGTATACTTACTGGAAAGATCCTCCTCTCCCCCCCGATCCTCATGCCGGTTGTGCCCCCCCCCAGTCACAGTTATGTCCAGGATTACAAATGTGCATCACCAAAGTGACATGGAGAAGAGCAGTAGTAAAATGGCTGTGAGATTAGCATACTTTAAATCCTTCCCTCAGGAGGAAGGGACCACCATAAATCTCGCCATGTGGTAAGTAGCATCTATGCTGGGGGAGAGGAGATTCTAGTGTGACATCATATATTCAATGTGCTGAGGTCTGATTAGTAGTCATAGTAATTACGAACTTGATTGGCGTGGTCGAAGCACACATCATTACTTTTCATTTAAACTGAAGTCCAACATATGTGTAATTCAGGGCGTAAGGCAAAGCTAATTAGAAAATATTATGTATTATTTTAGCCTCAGTCACTTGCATTCCTCTTTTTGTTCTTCCCTGGACCCATGATGAGACTTAGGCTCCCTACATCCTAAAACATCATAGATTTGTTAAAAATAAAAAGGAAAGAACCA